AACAAGTAAAAGCTTGGAATGGTCTATTCTTTCATTGGGATGTGTCTTGAGCCAGAGAAACAAATGTTTAAACAACTCTATTAATCATGATTATAATTATTATACTTGCGATCTTGTAAAAGGCATCCACACCATAACAGTTGTTGTTGTAACAAATGGCATATACGGATGGTGTTCCAACCACTGGTTTGTTTATTGTGTTCTAGCCAGACTGGAGAGCTCTGGATTTAGTGAAACACATTGTTAACACTAGATATGGCAAATATGGTGTAATTGGAATACTATTATTATACACTCTTCTAATTGTTGAAAATCCCTAAGGGACTAGATAAAGAATGTAGTGCTTAAAAATATGTCTACTACTAATGTCTTATGACAAGTATAATTAATTATAATCATGTTTTGCTGGCTTGTATTGCATTCACATCATAACAGTTGCTGTGAATTTGGTTTTTTGAACAATAATTTTAGCATTTGCTTATTGATTTATGTTTTAGTATTGAATTTAATTATAAAATAAAATAAACATTTTTTTTTATTATCTGGTAGAGTGTGGTTGCAATCTCATTGGATCATTCAGTGAACAATGTGATCAGTTAGGAGGTCAGTGTCAGTGTAAGACTAATGTTGTTGGAAGACGATGTGATCGGTGTACTCCTGGAACATATGGTCTTGATCAAAAAGGATGTAAATGTAAGTATACTTTTCAAAATTGAAATTATCGTTTTTACACCTATTGTATTTTACAGCATTGTATAATACCATTAAAGATATTTTACAAACTAAATTGATTGTTTTATGTTTTTTTTTCTAAACAGTAAAAGCAATAAAATAGACATATTTGGACTAATTCACTGCTTTTATAGATTAGTTTTTTTTCAGGTAATTATAAAACATATCAGTATATATATATGTTTCTTAACACTGTTAATCAACATGATAGTGATCAGTTTACCATTTTTAGACAGTTTTTCAACACAGTTAATTAACATGATACTAATTGTTTGATCATTATTCACTTCTAGACATGGTTAATTAACATAAGAGTAATTGTTTTATCATTGTTAGTTTCTGGACATGGTTAATTAACATGAGAGTAACTTTTATTATTTTTAGATTCTTTATTATATGTTGATTGGTATGTAGAATAATGTATGTTACTAATGACATGTGTAAATAGGTCATGGAATAGCAAGTAAATAATAAATTTAAAGTTGAACTAGAAACATTTTTATTTCAATTATTGCTAATAGTATAGTTATTAATTCCAAAAACTGTGTTTCTAAGATGAGATGTAATGATTGCTCGGACTGCTTTGATTTGATTAACAAATGCTCCACAGTTCTAGTGTAGTGCTGACACATCCCTGTTTACATATTTTCCTTCTTAGAGTAGAGGAAATAATCCATTTGGATTGACTTGATATTCATTTACTGCTTTGGGTAAATATAATGTAATTCTTCGCTTGTATAGAATTGTTTAGTCTGCTTGTGTTATATTTTTTGTAATATATACTTTTGGATCTCACACATTCAGATTATAAATCAATTACAAGATAATTTTTATTTTATTGAAAGCTATTTCCATGTCACAGTTGTACACAACTTTCATTGGGACTATTCAAAATATATACTTTTGGAAATATCAGCATATTAATGTATATTTATATTTACTGCAAAACTTATCAGATTTGTGATTAACTTGTGTTTAAAATGTGCATGAACAAAACTGTTAGAACTAGAGCTTTTTCTTTTAATTCGTTTTTTACTTGTGTCTTAACATTTCATATGTAACATATTATTTAACAAAAGTTAGAAGGATGTCTTACAAAATAAAACAAAAAAGTTGAATTTTATTGTTTTTTAGCATGTAACTGTCATAGTGAAGGCTCCTTGGACAATTTTTGTAACATAGAGACTGGTCAATGTCGATGCCGTGGTAGTGCTTATGGTCAGCATTGTGATAAATGTCCTCGTGGGTTCTGGAACTTTCCAAACTGTGAAGTGTGCAACTGTAATGACCATGCAGATGCTTGTGACCTTACAAATGGACACTGTCTAAACTGTAGAAATTTCACTACAGGACCAAACTGTGATAGGCAAGTGATAACAATTTAAATCTTACCAAACATTTTTAAATTAACATTAATTTGTAAAGCACAAATTGAAAGCCATGCTTACTTTGTGTTTTAACTACAAGTAATTTTATGGAGTATATTGTGCATAGGTACATAAGTAAATTATAGTGATGTATAAAAGGTATTTGAATAATATTATAATTACTTAGTCAGTTTAGATTTCATTATGCTGCTATGTAGATAGGCACAGTATAGGTGATATTTATAGCAGGTAGAATTTCAACTTCAGAAATTAATTTTAATAAAACCAGGGTTTTCCCACAAGTTACTACAGAAAATGAATATTAGTTTTTAGTGGTTGATCAATATTCCATGTGTCTGTCTGTTTTATTACAAAACACAAGCCAACAGTTTTCTGCATCCATCTTCTCAGTTTCTGTATGATTTTCAACAAGTACTTAAGTCATCAAGTTATGGTTTTTAGGTATTAAAATGAATGGTATGGTGGTTGCGATTTTGTGAATTTATGTATGTTATTTATAGATGATTCAAATAAGCACTATAAAACAATAATGAACTTAATATAAAATAAGCATTAATTTTATATTTTATATCCCAGTCATCATCTTAAATCTATAATGAATATTGTTTGTGGGAATAACTCCCAAATGCATTGGGGATATCCCATCTACCAGACAAAATCCAAACGTTGGTCAGTAATCATGGAAAACCAATTAAGGGTATGTAGTTGAGTGCTTACACCCACAACATTGCAACTCCTAGTACCTTTCACTTTCTGCAGCCAGTTGTGGGAAGGCGGTTACCCTTAAAAGTTCTTCTAATTCCTAAAGTAGAATGAAATGAAAATACCCCAATATATTTCTACTATATATCACCCTCAACCACCACCATTAAAAGTTCTAATAATTCCTAAAGTAGAAATAAAATGAAACCACCATAATATTTTTACTATACGTTATATGTTACTTTCAACCTCTGTTCATTAGAAAAGAAATTAAATAATAAAAGATCTCAAATAGAAATGAAATAAAAGATCTTAAATAAAATGAACTTAAAAAGAACTACATATACAAATATTTTTGTGTGTGTGTGTTTAACACAACTACGTCTTTGACTGTTCGTGGGGGATATCAAAAAGTCTAGTAAAATGTATAGTCCTTGGGTATTAATATAACTTAAAGATCAAGATAATTCCACATATAAAATTCCTACAGAAGTCAACCTGTGGTTTTTTTTTTGTTTATTGTATTGCTTGTAAAATTATAATCCTTGGGTCTTAGTTTATAGATGTAAAGGTTAAAATGATATTCAAAGTAACTAATTAAGGTAATACATTAGCTTAAGCCATCATGTAAGTTCTATGTAGCCAAACTTATTAAATTGGCAAACCTTAACTTTGTATAAAGGTCAAGATTATCTGAAGAACAGTGGTCAAGGTTACACAAAAGGTAGTCAAGTTATTGTTGCCAAAATTGGTACTAGTTGTGAATAAAACTCGGCATCACACAAAGGTCAAGGTTTTTGCTCATTTGAACTACAAAAAATGGGTAAACATGGTTGTGCATAAAAAGCCAAAATACCCCAGTGGTCATCATGATAAAAAATTCAAATTTATTTTCCAGTTGTGAACTCAAGGTGAGTTCAAGGTAATAGGTATAAGATCAAAATATTCTAAAACTTATTAGTCAGACCATATTTCTTTTCCTGCACTCAAGTAGTGTATTTTCAAATAATTTTTGAGCCAAGTATGCCTGTCTTATAGTGAGCTTTAGTTTACCCACAATATTACAAGTTATGTTTCTTCTAATTAATTGCATTTTACTATCTGTGTAATGAGAATGTTTGATTTATTTTAATCTCTACTGCTTGTAAACTCAGTTTCAGATTGTTTTAAGTTAAATTTTGTACACCAACGTATTGTGAAAATTTGTATTTATCTGTGCTGTCATAAATATATTTGTTAAGTGGACAACTATAAAATACTGTTGCAAATGTATCAGTAATATATAATGTGGTGACACAATACACGGCAGAACTCAGTATTCATCACTTCTGTCATGCTTGACTGCCACAATCCCCTGCTGATTACAGATTATGATGCTTTCTAAAAATATGGATCTATTGCCTTATCCCAGCAACCATTTTTCAACTGAAGGGTGTAACTGTGACAAAGGTTCAGGCAACTCTGGAGAGATGTTATGTACTGCTTGTCTATTATCATGTCAAGACAGTTGCAGTAATGGAAATTGATAATGGCAAAATTAAACAATTGCTAGAACTTATGCATGTGACACAATATACTTCCAGTTAGAGAAGTGTGACGCCATATGAATAGTTATAGGAAGAATTGACACATGCCAAGTACACTGATAATCATAAATTTTTCTTGAGAAAAAAAATTTAACTGGTTTAGTATGGATGATGGATCACCAGGTCTGTCATGTTATAAAATACATGCAGCCTCAGTTGACTCAGTTAGATGCAATAAATGGATCAGAACTAACTATATGTTGAAAGAATTGTAAGAGTTTGTTCATCATTATGCAACTTTTATGTCTTAGTTGTACCTTTCTGTTTGACAACTGAAAAACTAAGGTGTCTATCAATACAATGCTTATTTTAGTATATACAATGTTCCTTTCCATGTTATAATCAAACACAATGAATAGAGAAAATGCAGTGTTTTACTTCCTTAAGCATATACTCGAATTTCAAACTAGTATTTTAAGTTCATAAATTTTAATGTTATATACAGTTCAGGCTTGCTTTTTCAGACATAATTAGAGTAAAATAAAATTTAGCATAAAACATAATTTATTTTTTCTATGAGAAAACTGTTATTCTGAAAGGTAAAAATCACTCATCTATTTTAACAATATTATGTACATAATGCACTCCTCCATAAAGTATAATATACATGTACCATAAATTTGATTTTTTCCTGTATTACATACTTCAAGATTGATAGAAAGGAATTTCACATGGAGATGGTAAAGTTTAAGATACACAGGTTGTAAGATATGTGTATTATAGTTATATAACGTTCTTGTAAAACATGTTCAAGAATTTTACATTTAAATAATGTAATATAAAAAGTGACCAGTTTCATGTAAAAATCTTGTTGCATACATAACAGTACAATATAAAAACATTAAATAATATTAACATAGAAAATTGCAATGCTTCAATATTTCACCTTTTAAACTCTGCATTTAACTTTTACCAACTGATTTTATTTGAAGAGAGTATTGCACCCAGAGTACTTCTTTTTCTCTCAAATAATTAAGACCAATGCACTCACAATGTAAATATTTTATGCAGTTGGTGTGATAGTGTCATGGTGATGAGAGTTTTGGCTGAATCATGTATTTTACAGTAGCAAATACTGATGGTATATGATGATAAATTTTGAATTAATACATTGGCTTGTAAGGATGGTGCAACATATCTATCAGAAATTATCTGTGGTAGATGATCAACACAAAGTAGTTGTAGTATTAATTACAATATCTATTGACTATCAGTGAGTCTGGTGCAAAATAAGCTAGGACTTGTGAGCTTTCACTTGGTTATGCTTATTCATATTTTTATAATGAAGTATTTTTCACTCAAAGTGTCAAATTCATATAAATAAATATATACATATGCTGGGTTGCTTGACAAAACCAGGTATAAAAATATTTATAGGCATTTAGTCCTTTATAGGTTTTCGGTGTCTTTTAGGTGTAAGCTGATATCAAATTTCTTAGACATCTTTAAAGTCTGGGTTAAATCCAATATGTTAGTTCCAGGCACTTCTATGTCTTTTAACTCCTTCAACATTGCTTTAAAGAGCAAATGTGTCATTTACTCCCAATAAATAAAGTGATTCACTTTAGTTGAAAATGGTGAATTTATTGTATGTTTTCATAGTAATTGTACTTGTTGACAGGCTATTATTGTTATAATTATGCTATTCCTTTCTGTGCAACATGATGCCATAAACAGATATCACATGAAGGTTGTTTGTTATTAAACACAAAGCTAAAGAAAGGGATATCTGTGCTTTGCTCACCATGGGTATCGAAACCTGGTTTCAGTTGATATAAGTTCGCAGACATACCACTGTTTCACTGGGAGGCATCACATGAAGGTCAAGAGTCGCATCATCTATGTCATTTCTAGAAACCAGTAGAATGCATGACATTTTACCTTAATTTTCATAGTTCATAGCAGATTATTCAAGATACCCAAATTGTCTCTGTTTCTGTCATTAGATTTTGGTAGTGGGCTAGAGATACCAGTGGCTATGCTTTCAGTTGGTGCTTCAACACTGTGTATCTAGTAATTATCAGTATTGCTTATTAAGGGGGGGGGGGTCTATCCTTTACATAACTTATACAGGATGCAGATTAGTCATCACTCCTTAACAATCTGATAACACCGACTCAATAAGATATTTCATATATTTCTTCTAAACCTTTTGGATATAAATAGTATAAAGATCTTGGAAAGCTGTGGAGATGAAGAAATGGAGGTGTACCAGCTGTGGCTGTTCTCCTTGTCACTATGTATCCTTTCATTCTCTGTATTAGATGTTATTACACAGTTTAGATATAAGTGAATCTACCTGAGACCAATACATTTTAGTTTGTGAACTATAGGAATTTACCTTCTGTTAAGATGGTTTACTGTTTAATACTTAAGTAATCTCGGGAATATTAAAATGGTATTTCAGACCATTTACCTTTGTTACTTTGCTCTCTGTTAGTTAAACATGCACCATATAATTACAAACAATGGATAGATATGTATATTACAAAACAGCTTTGCGAAATTTTGAGACAAGTATTTGTGGGATAATGTAATTATTTCTGTACAACAGTCAGACATGATCACATATGACATTTACGTTACAAACTTTACCTTTTTTGAAACCCACACAAAAAATAACTTGTTTTGAAGTGCTACTGAATAAAATATTTAGTTTGCCTTTGTGATTTCTACATTTATATCTGTATTTTTATGTTTTGCAGATGCATAACTGGTTACTATGGTGACCCCAGGATTGGAGTACAGATTTCTTGCCGTCCTTGTTCCTGCCCTCATAGTAAATTCAGTCATGCTCGAGACTGTGAACTAGATAGAGAAAATAAAAATGTCATCTGCCATTGTGAGGAGGGATACAAAGGTAAGTTTTATTGCTTTATAAAACTAAAACGAAGTTATAATGATTTAAAGTAATTAACAATTTTAACATTTCTGTTGATCTTTAGAGCACAAGTGCAAAATAAAGCCATCCCTTAGTTTAACATTTTAATATTTATCTAATTTAGACCATTTTAGTACTCTCAGTTTGAGTATTTTTACCTGTTTCTGGGATATTATATATAAAGTTAATTTATAATTGTATAAAACCAAATTTAAACCTATTTTTTAAACATATCTTCTCTTAAGCATTAATTAGAAAATACATATATGTACTAGTTAAGAACCAGTGGTTTAAGGTATAGTAATAACTGGTATAATATTTATCACCTTTTAGTCACATGTAGTTGTTTTTGGATCTGAACACTTGCACCTTAAATCAGTCACTAATATCTCTTTTGCACAGCAATCCTTTTCTTTCATTTGTTCCTAATGTTGAGTTGACTAAATGATTTTGGTTTACAGTATTTTCATTGACATTTTTTCTTGTAAACACAAACTGCTCATTCCTAATCTTCTGTAGCAGATACATTTTCCCAAAAAGGACAATTTAAAAAAAAAATTCCTATCAATTAACTTAATTATCAGTAAATCCTTCTGTGACGTGTAGTGCTCAAAATGGTTTAAAAATTCCTCAGTGTGAACAATTTTATGGCTGCAAACATACATTTTCCTCGTTTTTGCTGATATAAGAAGCTTTCACTGTTAGTATTAGGCTTGGCATCGCCTGGTGGTTAGGGCACTAGACTTGTGATCTACAGATTGAAATTTCAAAGCCCTTCACCAAGCATGCTTGCAGTTTTAGCTTTGGGGGTGTTATAATGTCAATTCCAGTTTCTGTTGGTAAAAGAGTAGTTCAAGAGTTGGTGGTGGCTAGTGTTGACTAACTGCTTTCTCTCTAGTTTATAAATTCTAAATTAGAGATGACTAGTGTAGATAGCCCTCAAGTAGTGATATGTAAAATTCAACAAACAAATAATTGTTACTATCACAATAGCCCCCCAGTGGCACAGTGGTATGTCTGCAGATTTACAATGCTAGAAACTGGGTTTCATTACCCGTGGTGGGAAGAGCACTGATAGCCCATTGTGTAGCTTTGTGCTTAACTTCAAACAAACAAAGAAACTATCACAATCTGTTTTTCTTCATCATCCATTAGTTATTGTCTTTTTCTAATTTTCTGTAGAATAATTATATGGATTGTTTTTATAAAGTTGGTTTTATTATAATATAAGAACACTATCATGTGTAGCAGTTAGTGAAAAACTACAGTAAATGGAATAGACTATCAGAAGACTTGAAATCAGAGAAACTAGTTTTGACATATTTTCACATCCTGGTACGTTCTTAATATTAAGTTAATTAGATCAGTTCATTTACCCTAAGATCTTAACTTCCCAGTCTAATGCCCATACACATTCTCTGACATAGTAATTTAACTGCCAAATGGTTTTTATACTTAAATGCTTATTAGCGTGTAGGTGGATGGGAGTTTGTGTTACATCTGAAGTTAATAGTTTGAGAGAGGGAAGTAAATGAATGGAACTGTTAGTAGAAAGAGGTTATTGTTGTTTTCAAGCAGACCAATATCACTTTGTCAGGGATGAGGAAAAATTATAAACGTGTGAGTATCAAATAGAGCAAAAATTAATTTGGATTTAGAGTTTAAAACCTTTTTCCTAAAAGTTGTTTTATTTCAAAAAACAATAAATTACCCGACACCTATAAATATTTCCATTTTTTTTATATTTCATGAACCACTAGAAAAAAAAAATGTACCCTAGGTTTGCTTCAATTTTCAGTTCAGATATCATTTAAGTGTTGTAATAATAATAATAATAGAAAAAACAAAAATATATTTTCATTCATAGTTTACTCAAAAAATCTTGCAGAAAGTAGCTAAAGTTTTAAATTGTTGTCATATTACATGTATCTATGAAAAAAAAATTTACGTTACAGGTGAAAAGTGTGAAGAATGTGCTGATAATTTCTATGGAAATCCATCTGTACCTGGTGAAAAGTGTCATAGATGCAAATGTAATGACAACATTGATGTTACTGTACCAGGAAGTTGTGATCCATTAACGGGAGAGTGTCTTCTATGCATTTTCAACACTGAAGGTCCAAGTTGTGAATACTGTAAACATGGTTATTATGGAAATGCCACACAACATAATTGTCAAAGTAAGTGTGCTTGGATTTTATTAAAATAATTCTGTAGATCAACACTTGTGATTATTTTACAAGTTGAAGCATGTGTTATTAACCTTAAGTTCATTGTTTGGCAGAGGTGCTTGTAAGTAACTACTCAAGTTGTGGTCTTTATGATAGAATTGAAAGTCAGTTTTAGGTATACAGGTGACTCCCTCTTTGTATATATATATATTAGTTAATGACTCTTAGAGTTGAAAGTGACAGTTTGTAGTATATTTCTTAGCTCGTGTAAATTTCTATTTCCAGTGTGTGTGTGTAGTACTCTGGGAACTGATCCAAATGCTAAACAATGCAATGAAACAACTGGCCAGTGTACCTGCTTGCCAAATGTCATTGGTAAAACATGTGACCAGTGTGCAGTTGGTTTTTGGAACTTTAGCAGTGGTGAAGGCTGTAAACCATGTGATTGTGACCCACAGGGATCATTGTCAAATGACTGCAATGTGGTAAGATGCAAAGAAACAAGAAAATATAGTAAATATTTTCTTGTATAGGTGTTATCTTTTTCTTAGAAATTGTTTTAAAAATTATAATTCATTTGTTCTCTCAAAATGTAAAAAACTGGTGGTGCTTCCAGATAGTGTAAGGATATTATAATTAAGGAATAAGAAGATTTTATCTATGAAAAAACAAAACAATAGCTGTTATAAAACAGTGCAAATTAACTCCTTATCTTCATGTTTTATGCAACTTGCATGTCTCTCATGCTTGCTCAGTGGTAGGCTTAAGAGCTTACATTGGTAGAATTGGAAGTTAAATTTCCCACAGTGGACACACCAGACAGCCCTTTGTGTAGATTTGCAATTAAAATGTGAATCAGACATATGAGTATCTGTCATATCATCTGAAATGCAAATTGTTAGTCATTCAGACTATGTGTCTTTACATATTTTTAATTCAAGACATGTCACTTCAGTATGAATTATGAACAACAAAAGCAACCTGGCATGGATGTTGCATGCTTAAAGTCAATGTTCTTAAGATTATAAAATAACCTCAGCCACTCCTCTGAATGAGTTCTTTTCCTTGATATTTTTAGGATATAGAGTCACTTTCAGAATGTGGTGTATTTTGAAATAGCACCTCTTACGAGCTCAATGATGAAATTATTGACCAGTTTAGCATGGTGGGGGTGAACATTATCAGATGGTGAAAGAATGTGGTCTCTATAATGACATTAATGGTAACTTTCTGTAGGACGTAGAAACTGGTATGTCAACCAGTTCTTATTCTAGGTCCACATCATTCTATTTCCATGGCCTAATGCATCATGTTCCTGTATGAAAATGGGGTTAGATCTGGTTATAGTTTAGTTCCATATAAGAATATTTCCACATTGTGACTGGTGGGTGAAGTGTGACTTTTCTGTAAAAATAATTTTGTTTACATATCATTGGTCCACAAGACATGTTCTTGGCTCAATTTCCAACCAGTTGTTTTGTGCTTTACCGTGAGCAAAGTGCATCTCATTGGGTGTCTGGCATATTGGTTGGCTTTATGAAGTATATTTCTGTTACAATAATATAGTGTCCAGTTGCAGCTGTATCTGGTTCAGTCTTCCATTGCAGTAAGCCAGAATCATCAGATAGTGCCTGTCTACTTGTGTTACATGTCTGGGTGTCTGAACAATTGTGCCATTGATTTAGAACTGGTTTCACATCCTATAAATGTCACTTCTATATGCATTAGCCAATCTGCAATTGCCTGATGTGATTAGTTGGCTTCCATTTTATTCATGGCCTTTGACATAAGTGAAAAATCCCTGTCTCTTTTAATATCTATCTAGAATTCATGAACAATTTGGAGTACTTTGAATTCTGTAATGTACTTTAAAATGAATTACTGATAAACAAGACATGATTGTGTGAAACTACTGTAAATAGTATAAATTGTCATTTGCATTTCAGATCACGTGATCGATTATTAGATGTTTAATTTACATAACTATGACCTGAGGAGAGTGATTAACAACCATTTCATAATGTTATGACAGCGGAAGTCACGTGATGCTGATGAGTTTCTCGAATGATCGGGGAAGTCCGAGTGTGTTCGAGATGCCCTCTTTGTTAGTATATAAGCCTGGCAGTGTAAGCCAGCAGATATATGAATGATGAGAGAGCAGTAGTTACTTTGAGTTCCGTGTAATTTATGTTTTCTTAGTTTCGAGCTAGTGAGCCGTAAAGTGTGTATTTTGCACTCGTCGAGAGCGAAGTTATTGAGATTGTGAATCGCTGTGATTTTTTAGAGTGTATTATAAAAGTTGTTAAGTTTAAAGTGACGAGAAATGTACTGATTGTGGAACTACTGTGTACTAAAAGTTGGTATCAAGGAAGAATAAACTGGTTTAATCAAGAAAGGACTTGTATTGCTGAAGATTCTCGGAAAGAATTTCTACCGGAAACAAACAAGCAGATACATAACAATAATAATGATTTTGCCTTTGAAAGCTGTAATATTACAAATTCCTTTATTGGTTACTATTTTGAATTAAAATTTAATAAGTAATGATAAGCAAAATTTTTATGATATCAGTACATGTTAGTTATGACATAAAAAGGAATGATATCCTAATAGTGGCGTAATAAAGGTCAATAAGTTTTTACAACATTTAATTATAACATTCTATTGCAGTTTTAGAGGAAAAGCATGTGTTTTCTTAAAGCAGTTCATTGACACAATTTTAAGAGAAATGTATTTTAATCAGATTAAAAATTGTCAGTACCAAGCACAAAACATCATTAAGGCTAGGTGCATACGTGGTGTCTTTTCTTTTTCTGACAGTCCAAATAAAAAATATTGTTTTGAAAAGAAATCATAAAAAATACTGTGGCTGGATGCATATGACTACTTTCAGTTATCTCTTATCACTTCAAGCAGTCCCCTTGATTCCCAGATGCATAAGGTTATGCCTCCCACTTCTAATAATCCTGGATCCACCAATGAAATGTGTCCTTCTCTGTTAATGAACTTCTTATTTTTTTAAGTATTGCCTCTGATTTTGTTATGTTTTAATATACTGCATCATAAAAATTTATCTATTAAACTTATTATAACCACAGTATACCTACTAGTCAATACCAATAATTCCTTCTACAAAAAGGGCATTATTTCTAACAGGCATTCTTGCAGTTACTCTTAGGTTACCATAGAATAAAATTACATTATGCTGAGATGACTTGGCACAAGTGTATTGTTTATTTAAAGTGCTAACACTGCATTTTATTATATTGTGATAATACCAATAACAGTAAATAATATACTTTTTTCCCACTCCTGAAATATGATCACCCAGAAAAAAAGAAATGAAATGGCATTAATTAGGACAATGCCATTGATCATGAACTTTGATTTTAGCAAAACAGAGCATAGCTACATATAAATGGTTCATAGAAAAAATGTTCCAACCACTACTGTGCTTATTATGCCAGCCTGATAAGCTCTGTATTAAGTGAAACATGTTGTTTTCAATGAATAAAGGAAGCATAGTGTAGATGAAATAGTATTATATACTCTGCTTCCAGCAGCATCGACAGACAGCAGGAGCCCCATGGCAAATATCCTTGCTGGCCCCTTTCTTTTTTTGACAGCAGCGAGCTCATAAACAAAGCAAAATTATAGCAGCAGCCATTTCTAGCTCACAGTTTAAGCATAAAAACGTTAATAAATGACAGCAAATATTCATTAGATCTATAATGTAACAAATATATATTAATTATTATTCAAATTATTATTTCAATCATTCCTAATGTATCTAGTGTCTATATGCAAAGAAAAGCCAAAACTATAGTTTTTATGATTAAATGAAGATATAGCCTAAAGTTGCTTTATGGCATTTTGACATAACCAGGTTTTGTTCATCTGGGCCCCTGGGCAGTTCCCCCCTTTGCTCCCCCCTGTAGGTCTGTCTGCTTCTTCTTGAATAAACTGTCAGGGACTGAATAAATAATGTAATATTAAAAATCATGATAGGTCTGTAAAAGTATAATAAATATATATATAATTAAAGGAATCATACATCTTCATTGCCTGTAGACATTGTTATAAACATAAAGATTAAATTATAGCAAAATTTGAACATTCTAAAGTTTTTGAGAGAGAAGTAAAGTGATGAAAAGTTTAAACTGTAATGATCTTGACTTTCCCTGAAATATACTCAAAATATATTTAATAATTTCTGTATTCTTTAAAATATGTTGTGTACATTTATGTTTTTTTTTTTAACCACATTGTAGCTGTTTAAAAAGAATGAGGTATGGGTATTGTTACAACAGGCTGTTGTTACTCACACTTACACACACTATAACAGTCATTATATATATGCATCACACATATACATGTACACAGCGTGGTCATTTCATTTTTTCTGAAAAGGTGGTGTCTATTTACTTGTTTTTCAGTCATATTCACATGAATTGATATATTTATCATTTAATTAATATCTAGTAGATCTTTCTTTCGCTTCGTGGAGTTCGTTGATCCTTTGGGGCATCGTGAGAATCATCTCGTCAGTTTTAGATTGTGCGATTTTTGCCCACTCTTGCTTCAAAAGTTGGAGTAGACCATTCTTCGATGTTGGTTTTTTGGTTGTTTCTTGACTTGCCGGTCGAGTATGGTCCAGAGATTTTCGATGGGGTTCATGTCAGGAGATTGGCTCGGCCAGGGCAACTTCTGGATACCATTTTCTTCCTGCCACTTTTGGGTGTTTCTAGCATTGTGACACGGTGCTCCATCTTCCTGGAACAACGTTGTATTCTTGTCCACGAAACCCGAGAAATAAAGTGGTAAGAGTCCTTTCTCCAATATTTCGACGTATTTCGCAAAATTTATGTTGCCAGTGCACTCCACTAAGCTCGATCTCCCACCAACCCAAACAGCTTCCCAAACCATCATGCTTCACAGTTGGCTGCAATCTGTTGAGCCAAAACTCTTGGTGAGGCATTCTCCAGACCCACATCCTTCTACTGTCCGAAAATTGAGCGAATCTTGATTTGTC